AACTTTCACAGAAGCGTGAAATGTATGTCAAGTTCAGCATCCGCAACATGCGTTTAGTACAGCGATCTTTGCTTCGTCATTGCTGTATCTGTGTAACACTTATAGTTACCTTTAACGGTCACGAACAGGCGGGTAGACCCTGTTTCTATATTATACCTCGTACAGCGGGGGTAATTCCAAATAAATTGAAACTCTTCTTCTTTGGAGATACAACAAGGCCCTGGGACACTCAACCTTATTAATAATTTGCTAATGAAATGCTATGTATCGTCGGTCGCGATCAAAGCGTGTCATTTATACCACACGGTGTTCATTTCTGTACCACGGTGTTCATTACTGTACCATATTTGAGTACGACTCCTTAGTGTTAACAAATACTCTCATTCTTTTGACTCGCACTCAGCCAGTGAGCGGTAAACGTTATATAACCGTTTGAACTTAATTTTCGCGTTGAATTGTAACTCGCTTATCTTGTTTTTTTAGCAATAAGAAGTTTAAAAACTTGTTTGACACAATCGCGTCATTAGTCCTGTTTATATACTGAATCAGCGGGTGTTCCACAGACCTACTGCGCACACTACACTACCGACTTCTTGAAATATACATTTACTATTGTACTTTCAAATATGTTATTTCTATAGAAGACCAATCTTCAATTAGAATACGTAATTTTGTAGGTCCTATATTTCATTAGCATAGGTGCTTTAATTATTAATTGGGTATGAAATGCAAGTCTTGCTGCCTCTAACATCAGATCAACTTTCTTAAGAAATAAAGCAAATCTTATGTTATGGAAAACAAACCAGTATTGAGTTGAGGTGGAAAAATGAATCAGTAGAATCTTCATTTACATCTCTTGCGTGAAATAAGCTTCTGTGTTTAACAGTCTTTATAATGCTTAATTAGACGTTGTAGCTGTATGTGGTCAAATTAAACACTGGCTATTTGTATGACCGTACAGTTGGACCATCGACTCGTTCGGTACATTGAATTATCCTACATATGTAATCGTCCAATACTGATTCCGTACTGAAAAGCTTAAGAAAGACTGCTGTAGCGTCCCAATACGGTTCGTTATATAAAGAGAGAGAGAGAGAGAGAGAGAGAGAAAGAGAGAGAGAGAGAGAGGAAGTATATTTATCAGTTCAAGATAGAATTGTTTTGAAATAAATATTCCGTAAGACTATAAGTAGTACAAAAATAAGGGTTTTGCCACAGTTCCCCCGCCCATATAATCCTTACCACCTCCCTGGCACCCCCTAGAGGCACCCCC